CACACCAGGGGTCACCCTGAGAGCCCCTGTGCCACCCCAGGGGTCCCTGTGCCACCCCAGGGGTCAGCCTAGCAGTTTCTGTGCCACCCTGTCTGGTCCCTGTGCCACCCCAGGGGGCACCCTGAGAGTCCCTGTGTCACCCTGTGCCACTCTGAGCGCCCAGGACAGCCACTTCAGCCCTGCCACACGTCCCCTGTGCCAGTGTGACCCTCTGCTCCTCCTGCAGCTGCCACCAAACCCTGCCCAGGACCTTCTGGGGAACCCCGGGAATGCCACCCGGGCTCTGTGTGCCCTCAGGGCAAGGGGACAGCGGGCAGGGGGGGCAGCGCTGTTGGTGTCACATCTCATGGGGACATTTCGGGGGGACAGGAGCTTCAGGATCACCAGGGCCACCACTGACCGTGTCCCCAAGTGCCACCAGCTGGTGTCACCCTCCTGTCCCTTGGGGTCCCTTTTTGCCCACCAAGTCCCACCCTGGTCCCTCTGCTGATCCCCATGTCCCCCTCACCCCAATTCCCGGGGCTCTCTCCCCTCTCCCGGGGCTCTCTCCCCTCACCGGGGCTCTCTCCCCTCACCCCAATTCCCGGGGCTCTCTCCCCTCACCGGGGCTCCCTCCCTTCTCCCGGGGGTCTCTCCCCTCTCCGCTCCCGGCCATCCCCGGGGCTCTCACCGCCGTCTCCCGGGATTTCCCAGCATCCCTCGCGGCCAGTGATGTCAGCCCCGCCGCCGGGCCCGCTCCGGTGCCTCGGCGCCGTTACCGCCGCCAGCGCCGTGAGGGGAGCTCCACTTCCGCCATCGGCGCGCTACCATTGGCCCACCGGAGTCACGTGGTGCGCCGCGAGGGATGATGGAAGTTGTAGTCCAACGCGGCGCTAAACCCGCCATGACGCTTGGACTACAACTCCCAGCAGCCCCCGTGGGGAGATTGCTTCAATTTCCTTTTTTCCCCCAAAATTTCCTTTTTCTCCCTAAAATTTATTTTTTCCCCCAAAAATTTCCTTTCCCCCCCTCAAATTCCACTCAATTCCCCCCAAATCCCAGCAGCTCCACCCCCCTCAACCACCTGACAAAACACAGCACACAAGCAGCTCAGTATTTTTCATTTTTTCCTTTTTTTTTTTGTAACAAAAAAACTTTTTGTATTATTTTTCCATTTTTTGTAATTTTTTTTTTCCGTTTTTTTTAAAGGCTGGGCGAGAGGTAGGATAAAAAAAGGGCGTTTTTTGGCTGGTAGATGAGGTTTGGGAGCTCTTCTCAGCTTCACTCCCTTGTGAAACACACCCGGGTACGGAGGGGATTTTTCACAGTGGATTAAAAATTTTATATTCCAAGAGATATTTCATATCCACAAAAAAAAAAAAGGAAGATTTGAGGCATAAATCACATTAAGAGACTCCGTGTCCTACCTTTAAATAAGGAAAAAAGTACAAAAGTGGCTGAGGTTGTGCAAAAATTCTTCAATTTGTTCCTAATATTTTACAGAATCAGTACAGGAAAATGTAAAAATCAGTAAAAAAATTTAAAAAAACCCCAAAAAACCAACCCCAAAGGGATTTGTCACATTTTCACAACAGGAATTTTGCTGTCCCAGGGTGGGAATTTTGGCTGATGTGGGGAGAGTCGGGCACTTTTGAGTCCCTTTTTTATTTTTATTTTTTAAAATATTTTTTTCCCCAGTATAAGGCAAAAAACCCCACCCTGAGATGCACAAAAAAAGGATGTAAACAAGGACTTTTTCTGGCTAAAAATCTCCTTTAAAAGGGAGGGTGTGAGGCTGAAGGCAGCTCCAGGATTCCCACACTTTTGGCTTTTTTTGGGGTGTTTTTTGGTTTTTTTTTTCAGCTTTTTCTGAGGGAAAACCCCTCGAAAATATTAAAAAAAAATTAAAAAACAAACCAAAACACCCCCAAGGATGACTCTGTGCAATTCCTGCCTCGATTCTCAGCTGAGGCAGCCAAGTCCCTGCAGTTTTGTTTGTATAAAAACACATTAAAAAAAAGAACACCAAAACAAACCCCAAAACACAGAAAAAACAAAACAAAACAAAAAACTAAAAAAAAACCCCAAACAAAAAAGGCAAAAAAAGGAAAAAAAG